TATTTTCCCTCATGGTACCCAACATGTAAAAAGTTACACAATGGTCAAGTATACCAAAGGGAATACTTATCCTCCACTAAAACACAAGGTCTCTGCCATAATGGGAGGCATTACAGTTAAACTCATCCCATACTCTTCTGGCAATGTGTAAAAATGGTATAAAGGCAGAGAATGGGCAAAATGAAGAAAATTATTCTTGTTAATACTGTGTTCCACTCACACAAGCCTCTCAGGATCGAGAGAACCAGGTGTAATAAATCCTGTACTAGACACGGGATTTAGCAGAAACAAGTATGAATCCATTTACAAAAGCAAGATGTACTGCTGAGTTTCTTAATGAAAGGTCACCCAAAAGCCGAGGTTAACATTAAAATAACCCCTCCTATAACTGGGTCTCAGTGATAGATAAAGCTTATGATTAATCAATAAACAAGGCCCAGCCCTGTTGTTTGGTGCTGAAAGGAAATGAAGCCAGCACTGCTAGACAACGAACACAAAAAGACAGGAGGAGAAAAACAACACACCATCTTTAATCTTCCCAGAAAATGAGAGGGGGAAACAAGAACATCAACAGAAATGTAAACTATATTAAGGGAATATTTAACAGGGTCCTTTAAATAATTAGCAATGATCAGGTATTTAGTTTTCAGAATATGTAGGTTGGGTGTACTTCTTTTTTTTTCTAATAAAGCATTTCAGATTCTAATTAAAAAAATACTTTATGGAGGAATTAAAAAGATACAATAGTGTCAGAGGAAAAGCCATGATCCCAGAAGTGGAATATTCTAACAACATAACTTACAAGAAACTACGCTATAAAAACAGATTGTTGATTAACACAAACTCATAACAAAACGCAGAGAGCGATCACAATGGTGCTGTAATAACACTTGGCTGCTGGATTCTCTCAATACATTAAATATCTCCTTGGAGACCAAATTACTTTACATTTTCTTAAAAGACAATTTATTATAGCTTTGTTTTCTTCTCGTTATCTCTTAAAAATATATCTAATGAAGAAAAGAATACAATTTCTAAATAACTTACATAAAACAGTACTAATGTGTGACAACAGACTTTGGTTTAATATGTTGGTTATTATCTAACAGCACACGACAACTTATTGTCATGACAAATCCCTACTACGACGCGATATCCACGTGTCACATGTATCAAAAACCACTGTATGCCATTATTATGGCACACATAAAATTAACAGCCTAAGGCTGCTAGCAATTTAAATAATTGATAAGTTTTCAATTAAAAAGGCAACATTTTCAGGTCTAATACGAAAATCTATTTAAATTACTGATAAAAACTTATGTTTCTGTTGGCCCAAAGCCAGAAAATACTTGTGTTCAAGGGGGAAAACAGTAATTCTGCAAGTTGCATATTTTCTTCTTAATTTTATGCAGAGATCCAGGCTGTTTATTCATTTAACCTTTGTAATCAATGGAAAAGAATGATTAAGGGATTTCCAGTAAAAGTGTCTCTAGTTTTGCTTTCCCCATATGGATTCTAAAGAAATAATAAGGGGACTGCAAATTTATTAAATTTGACATGAGAAACTAAGCTGCTTTTTACAGTAAATACAGGGTTACCTGTCAGTATCTCGGTATCTCAGTATCTTCCCCACCCCACCACCCAGATCCTGGATTCAAAAAGTTTTCAGTCAAAATGAACCTAAAAAATAAAGACCATGCAGCTTTTTCATAATAGATCAGCAACTAAAGGTGATCAACCAAAATCTATGTGAGATTAGGTCCAAATGGTTCTCCTTATGGCAAAACTGGAACCCTGAGGAATTTTAATCATAAGCACCAAGACAGATCAGGGGCGCCTGGGTGGCTCAGTGGGGAACATGCTTCTTCTCCTCCCTTTGCCCCTCCCCCCAACCCCGCTCATGCTCTCAAATAAATAAAATAAAATAAAGTTTTTTAAAAAGAGCCAAGACAGATCAAAATGACAGCCAACCAATTTTATGTGTGCTTTTTGAGGAAGAGATTCCCCTACTCTTTACTTTTTAAATGTTTATTCAGAGCCTGACTCTACATAAACAACAGGTATATGATGGTAGGGCTATCTCAACAGGTAAGAGGAAAAAGAAATCCATTTAGGCTTTAAATGACTTAAAGCTTGTTATCTCTCTCCGAGATATTTTCATTTAAAAAGATTTTGCTCAAACATTCAGAATCAGAAGAGTGGAACTAAGTTAAAATTCTTGGGGATTTCAGGTTCCCATCTATAAATATTTAAGTGAATTAATGAGAAAGCCTGGACCCGATCAGACCACAATGTATAGACCACTGCCAATTCATAAAAAAAGGCTTCACCATCCACTGCAAATTGATAAAAGTAAAGAATATCAATTCACTATGCGGTACACCTGAAACTAATATAATATGTCGACTGTACTTCAATTTTTTAAAATGAGGGAGGAAAAGAATGTAGTGAGTTTTACATAAAACTAACTTTACTCACTTTATTTTTTTTAATTTTTAAGTAGTTTCTACCCCCAACGTGGGGCTTAAACCCACAACCCTGAGATCAAGAGTCGCACACTCCACTGACCGAGAGCCAGCTAGGTACTCCTAAATCTACTCACTCTAATGGTCACCTTTCCTTTTGAGATTATGTACTGCCCATCATTTTTAATCTTTAAATGACTCTCACTGTTTTTCTTTGTTAGTAAAATAATAGTGAACAGTAGGTAATTTTTATTATTTACTTATTTTATTAACGTGTTTATTTGGCAAAATAAAATGTTACAATGCCTATGTCCTCCAATCTAAAAGTGAAAATTGATTAATGCGTGAAAGCCACATATTTGGGGATCAATGAGCTAGATGATCTCTTTTCAGACTAAAAAGTGGTCCTATCGAAATCTCAGAAACTTGTCAGTTTAAAGACAATTACATAACTCTTAATGTATTTTCCTACAACACAAAAATGAACACTGCATTTGAGAAAAGAAACATAAATCATAGGGAATATATACTACAGATATCTCAACTGAGGTATTACATCCACACAAATCACCCAGAATGTACTGATGGTGATGACACAGACAACTCCCCAGACACTCCTTAATGTGCAAGGAGGTGGATGGGAGAGAAACAGCAAAAACAGCTTGGATAGCACTGGCTATCACACCAGGAGTGGCTGAACTTAACTCCATGCTCACATTCACACTAGCCCCAAGACCTTGGGCGTATCTCTTAGCCATGGCTTCCTCATCTAAAACATCGGGATGATAAAATCTACCTCACCGAGTCATTATTGAAACCACAGAAAATTAGATACCTTTCGCATCTAGTATATATATATATGGTAGGCACTTAGAAACGCGAATGATTATTATCACTATGATGACACGCATTAACATTTCTCAAAAAGCATAATCTGTCAGAACTTCCCAAAAGCACGTTTTTGAAAGCACAACTTTGTGTGTGGCTATGTCAGAGACATAATAAAAGTACAGTGATGTCTAAGTAATGTACTCTCTGCAGTGGATGTATGTTGAAAAACTAGAATCCATCTGTGTGTGTGTGTGCTTCCTAAAAATAAGCATCTCACACTCCCAGGAGAGTTAGGCAATCTATCAATACTAGTGCTAGACCTTTCAGCAGACAATCCTCCTCTGCCTTTCAAGGTACTGATGAGCCCTGCTCTAAATTCTCAGTGCACAAAGACTCTCAAATAAGTTAATGGGAAGTCAATGGGAAATTGACTTTTCCTACTCTGTGCTGGTCTGAATGCAACGCTCTGTTAATCATGCCATCCTTCTTGTTCTCTTTCCTCCTACCCTAAATTAAAACTATTGGCGGAAACCCTTACAGATATTTCACAGTTTTCATTACAATGAAACAATATCCTGGTTGAAGCTGAGGTCCATCAGAAACCTACGGATGTTGTGTTGGCTACGAATGGCGACCGGGACCAGCAAGGGCCCTGAGTCCATCATTTCCACCATCATACCACTTTGCATTTGTATAGAACTTTTAACTTCTCAAAGGGCTTTCACATCTATTATCCCATTTGATCACTACAATGATCCTATGCAGTAGAAAGGACAAGTGGTATTATCCACAATGGACAGATGAGGCAGCCATAGCACAGAAAGGTTAAGTGATCTGCCTAAGGCCAGCGAGCCAGAGGAGAGCTGAGTCAGAGACCTGAGTCCAGGGCTCTCTCTCTACCCAGCCCCTAGAAAATGTTTTGTAAACAGATTACAAACTCGGATAAAAGAAAATAAAATGAATAAGAAGAAATAAAACTCAATGAGAGGACAGCACAAATCAGGGCTCAGGGAAGTTACACCTCTTCATCATAGTTGGATTTGTCAGGCTAAGTATTAAAGTTTTAGATATGTACCCTTTTGTCTTATCTTGCTTATCTACTTTAGTCCCAGATAAACGGCTAAGGCAAATTTCCACTGAAATTTGAAACACAAAAGAAAAGTCATTTCAGGATATATTCAAATCACTCTGAAACAGTAAGTAACCCTGCAGTTCATTTCAGGGTGGAAAAAAAGGGGGTGGTTAGTGCATAAAATAACCGAGAGTACATTTTAAAATCGCGTATCCATACTAAGCCTGCAGCTACATTATAACTATAGTCTGTTTGGAAGGGTGAAAGAGATCTCCAGTTGAAAGTAGATTTTGAAAAATTTTTTAGAGCCCAGGGGTTCATTTTTAATGAGCCGTTACTTTAAGTACTGCATAAAAAATACAGGAAATTGATAGTCCATTTAGTCTGCACCATACCTAATGCAAAAGTCATTAAGACGCATTATTCTTAATGTTCATGATATGATCAGTAAGTGTCTTTTGAAAAGAACGCCCTTAACTTTAACGTAAGGAAATCCTTGAAACCCTTATGCATCCTACAGAAGAATGCTATGGTAGCTGTGATTTATTTTTATATCTTCAGCATGCCGAGAAACAGTGCCCACGATTACATTAACACATTACAATAGTCCTCATTTATGATAGACTTACATAGGACAGCATGGCCTTCATTTCTTCATCGCTCCTCACTGTAATTCGGTCACCATCTTCATCTTCATCTGTTTCAAAGGCAACATAGTGCGAGTGGTGAGATTTGCAGTTTTTAAATGCACAAAAATCATGTCAGCTGGGAACATAACACAACTTCTTTTCACAACTTGAGAGCCAAATCTTCAACATCATATTTTTGAGGATGTCGAGGTTATTGGTTTGTTGTTTTGTTGGGATTTTTGTTGTTCAGAATATGAACAGTCCCGATAAATAGCCAAAAATTTCAGGGACAGCTGAAAATTAAAATACTGCTTATGTCAAGCCTGACATGTATCTAGGTTAATGTGTCACTGGAGGGTGAAGAAACACGTTTGGTGTGAAGAACGTTAAACACTGAAGGAGGCCAGTCTTGTTCTACCATCAGTACTTTCCTTCTTTCCCACGCAGCACCCTATCCCTTATTTGTCCAGTCTTCCTCTCTCCCAGACAAGCTATCATGTAACAGTGGCATGATCAAAATGGCTCACATGTATTGAACATGACTACACACAAAGTACCATGATTCCATGCTTCATATACCATACCTCCTTAAGAACCATGCAACGATCCTATGATGTGGACAGTGTGACTTGATTATTACTATTCCCTTTTCACTGAAGAACAGGGAGCCTATATAAGGTTAACTTACAAAGCAACTCTAACACAGTTATCCCCATAACCCATTCTATCTGGTAGCTCACTTGCTCTTTCTGAACAGTTTCATTTCTATTGGGTAGTCTGACTATAATAAGCTTCATATGGCTATTCATGTGATTTTGGAAAAAATCTGATAGTCTTAAAACTGGAGGATAATTAGACTTTACAAAATACACAACCAGAATGTATACATTTGAATAAGTGTATCATCAAAGCGGCCACATCCAGAAACTTATTTCCATGATGCTTCTCCTATTCAAAATAGTTTTGAAATACCTCTTTGAAAACTGCTTTAAGATCCCAAAGATAGCATGAAAATATCAGATCTCATTTTTTTGAAAGATTTTTTTTTTTTTGAAGTAAACTCTATACCCAAAGTGGGGCTCGAACTCACAATGCTGAGATCAAGAGTCACATGTTTTACCAATGGAGCCAGCCAGATGCTCCTATCAGATCTCATTTTTAACCCCAAATGGAACTGCCTGCCTGGTCACTCACCTACGCTATCTGCAGGCAGGACTCAGAATGACTTTTGTTTATTTCTAAATATTTAGTTAGCTATTTCATCCCTCTAAAAATAAAGATCTGTCAACAAAACAGCCTATGTGATAGATTCTAAATATATGGCTGAAAGAAAAATGCCAAAAACATTTTGAACAATAATAGGGTTGTTGGAAGAAGTACACAGCCTCCCAGGGGACAACTTGGAAGGGGCAGGCTCTCTCTCAATTTGGATGCCTCAGCTCTGATGCACTTGTTAAACAATCAGTGTTGTTATTTATTTATTTATTTATTTTGAGGGGGTCATTCTTGAGTATCTAATTGCTCATTTGATCAGATGCGGAGAACCTGATTCCAGGCCTGGAGAAACAGACAAATCTCAGGTCATGAAGAGAATAAGCTTACACGACATGCTCTGGGGACTCTTACTGAAAATACAGGGGGAGTTCAGCTCATGGATCTTCGCCCACCACACCCCAGCGGCCCTCCCTCCCATCCAGCTACAGTTCTGAAGATGTCCCCCTGCTCAGTGGCCAGGCCATGGAAACCCTAGGAGGGAGCTTGTATTCTCTCCTAATTAGCCCATTTCAGAGCAAAATGCTACTTTCTCTCCCAGCAGCCAATAGCAATCTATCTGACAGCATGATAGAAACCAGCAGTTGAGCCAGCCCTGCTCAGTGACCAAGCCAACTGCTCTCACTGGGGTTTCTCTCCAAAGCATTTGTTCCTGGATCCTGGATCGTGGTTCACTCCCAAAGAGTTCCCGAACTCAATGCAAATCAGTATCATCAAGTCACACTATTTAAATATCTATATAAATAAGAGCTGTCCAGAGTCACTACTGTACTATTCTACTAAGAGCTCCCTGTTCTCAGTATAAAAGGTACATAGTAGTCACTTTCAGTAACACGAAGACAGCAGAGGCCTAAGAATATTACATATATAAGGGACTATATAGGAATCTAGCTCTTTCTTTCTTTCTAGGTGTAGACACTATAAAGTCAAATTGGAGAAGAAAAAGAAATGCCATTCTAGGTTTGGAAACAAAAGGGAGTGTCTACGTAAGTTCTGGAAACCAGTATTTTCAAGGGTAAGTAAAAAAATTTTCTTACAAATGCAGGAAACAAAGGGAAAAAACAGATACAGTATAAAGAGATATAATGTTACATACTAGCACACATGAAAACACTTTACATTTTTATTTTAAAAGCAAGTCAAATTCTCTGTTTAGATGTGGGCTACAATGATTTGTTCTTCATAAAGTCATGAACTTGGTAAAATTTCCAGCCTGAATAAAGTAGCTTTTTGTAACTCTCACTTCTACACCAGAACTAGCTACAGAGACAGTGGCTACAAAGGAATTGTTTATGTTCAAATTTCAAAATACACAAGACCCCAATAAGGTATCTTTCTCATGGGATGAGGAAGTGTTTGGAGTTTAATAAAACAGGTGAAAACCCTTCTTAGAATTTGTGAAGAGAGGGCACAGATTCCAGAAAAATCATTTAAATCGCCGTCTCTCTCAGTCAGGAACAACACAACAGTAAGAGTTCTCTAAGCTCTCAAAGCCAGAGCTTGAACCTTTAAGGTTTCTTAAAACAGAAGATTTGGAATTCCATGAAATCTCTGAGGGATTATTTCAGGAAAAAAACAAAAACAAAATAAAACACCTGTGATAGAAGTCAGCTACCAGAATAATTTCTTGTCTAGCAGTTCCATGAAAAGCAGCTATGAAACACTATAAGGACACTTGGCTTTAAGTGGACAGAAAACTGAGGCCAAAAGGCCCGAATAGCCAACCTAGTGGTAAAGTCTTGATGCTGTTCCATAAGGGGTCTGACTCCAAGAGAAAGATTTTGGTTAAGTTGAAGGAGGCATTGTAATAAAGCCTGGGGATAAAATCAGACTTACATGACACAGTGATTAATGTTCTTATGGATTATTAAGAGACTCCATTTTATGTAGGTATTGGTTTTCTTTACAAATTGCTCTTTGGGGGGCTGATAGACTCTTTGCTATTTGTGATCAGTAGTTTTAATGAAGACTCCTGTTCTTGTCAAAGAGGAGACTGAGTTGGAAAAGTAATCACACCTATGAGAAGACTGATGATTCTGGCCAAAACACAAAACCCAAGCTATCTATCCCTGTGATGGCAGTCAAACCATTTGCCTCGACACTTAAGTGAGAATACACTTCTCTGTAAAGACAATAAATTCCAAAGACATCCAGATGGCCAAGAGACACATGAAAAGATGCTCACCATCACTCATCATCAGGGAAATGCAAATCAAAACCATTGATCTGCTATCACCTCACGCCTGTCAGAATGACTATCATCAAAAAGAGAAGAGATAACAAGTGTTGGCGAGGATGTGGAGAAAAGGGACACCTTGCGCACTGTTGGTGGGAATGTAAACTGGCGCAGCCACTGTGGAAAATAGTATGGAGGTTCCTCAAAAAATTAAAAACATAACTATCATGTGATCTAGCAATTCTATTTCCGGGCATCTATCCAAAGGTAACCAAATCACTCTCTCAAAGAGATATGTGAACCTCCATGTTCACTGCAGCATTATTCACAATAGCCAAGATACCACTTATGTGTCCACCAACAGATGAATGGCTAAAGATGTGGTATACACATACATACAGTAGAATATTACTCAGCCAAGAAAAAGACAGGCATCTGCTATTTGCAACAACTTGGATGAACCCTGAGGAGGGCATTATACTAAGTAAAGTAAGTTAGAAAAAGACAAATACTGTATGATACCACTTATATGGGAAATTTAAAAAGGCCAAACTTAGGGGCACCTGGGTGATGCAGTTGGTTAAGCATCTGACTCTTGGTTTTGGCTAAGGTTGTGATCTCAGGGTCGTGAGATCAGGCCCTGCATCAGGCTCTGTGCTCAATGCGCAGAATCTCCTCAGGACTCTCTTCCTCTCCATCTGTCCCTCCCACCCCCCAAAATAAATAAATAAATCTTAAAAAAAAAAAAAAGGCTAAACTTAGAGAAACAGAGTTTGACTATCAGGGGCTGGGGTGGGGGAAAATGGGGAGCTTTTGCCGAAGGGTATAAATTTCTAGTTCCAAGGTCTGGGGATCTAATGTAGAGCATGGTGATTATAACTAATAACACTGTAACATACTTTTTTAAAGATTTATTTATCTGTCTTAGAGAGAGAGAGAGCGTGTGCACACATGCACGCATTCACAGGAGGGCAGAGAGAGGGGGAGAGAGTCTTAAAGCCGACTCTGTGCTGAACACGGAGCTCGATGCAAGGCTCAACCCCACGACCCCGAGATCAAGACCTGAGCTGAAACCAAGATCTGACATTTAAAGGACGACCTGAGCTGAAACAAAGATACGACATTTAAAGGACTGTGCCACCCAGGAGCCCCAACACTGTACATATATTTGAATATTGCTGAAAATAAATCTTAAATGTTTTGACCACAAAAAAAGAAATGGTAATTATATAACAGGATAGAGGTGTTAGCTAATGCTAGGTGGAAATCGGTTTGGAATATACAATTGTATAAAATCAGCAGATTGTACACCTTAAATTTACACAATGTTATAGGTCAATTATATACCAAAAAAGCTGTAAAAAACGTCTTAAAATAAAAACAATGAGGGGCATCTGGGTGGCTCAGTCGGCTGAGCATCCAGCACTTGGTTTCAGCTCAGGTCATGATCTCAGGGTCGTGGGATCAAGCCCCAAGTCAAGTTGGATAGTCTGCTTGAGATTTTCTCCCTCCCCCTCTGCCCCTCCCCCTACTCATAAGTGCTTTCCCTCTCTCTCTCTCTCAAATAAATAAATTGATAAATAATCTTTAAAATAAAGACAATGAATTGACAGGTATTAG